AGGGAGTTTCATCTTGGCATTGTTTATAATATTCAGCCATACCTCAGAATCAAAATTGTAAATAAAGACAATAGAGAAAATAAGTCAAAACTATTATTTACCATTTTAAACTTTTAATTTTTTCTTCTATTTCTATTAATTAAAATTGCTAATGTTAATTATCAAAGAATTAGTATTCTTTTATCAACACTAAAATATATGACAAGAAAATTCATACTTTTCAAAAGAGAACGATCCAACGTAACAAATATAAAGCAAATCTCAGGAAATCTCAAAAAACTAAATATTCAAGCAAAGAAAATGTAATAACTTCATGTCACTTCCCAGGCATGTCATCATTAAGTGATGTGTTCTGAATTTAAATTCATTCTTAAAAATTAATAATAACTGTGTTATTGAAATTTAAAAATCAAGAAAAATATTCTATTGTGTAAAGATTTTAATTTAAAAATCAAGAAAAACTTTCTATTGTGTAAAGATTTTAATTTAAATTACTTTTTTATACGAAACTAAAAAAATAAACAATCTCTAACAACTAATTTTTTAATATTATATGGGCTTTGTATATATTTATGAATCTTTCAGGACTTGATTTCACAATAGCATAAAGACAGCTCTAAAAGTGAAATATCATATTTTTTTATGTTTACAGTAAAAAAAAAAAAAAAAAAGACTGTGTGGTTAACAATATCAGAAAACAGATCTGGCTGCAGTGCAAAAACGTGAAAGTGTTACATCCTGGCCCTGGTAAAGGTGTTTATTGATAGTTTTTTCCTTATTGTAAAACCAATTACAGTCCATAGGCTACATTTAGATACTATTGTATCAACCTCAGTTAAACGCTTGTACAAATGCCATGCTACTTTGAGAGCTGTTGCTCTATCAATTTAAAAAAAAGCCCCTTTCATTCCCTTTTTATTAGTATTGAGTTATGACTGACCTTCACAAAAATTTCCCCCAAAGATCCTTAATTAAAAAAATCAAACCACTAAAAGAATTTATTAATGTTTAATGCATTAATGTGTTTACTGCACAGCAGCATAGAAATAAATTACTTGAAAGAAATGTGACTCATCCGGGTGCTAGTATCAGGTGAGTTAGCAGTATTTTGTAAAATCTATGAACCTTTAAAAGAACATTTAAGAAAATTTTGTAAAAATGCAAACTATCCCAGTAGCTAACAATTTGCCAGCTGCTTGCAGTTTATTTTGATTCCTTTAGAAAAAAGAGTAGCTGATTGAAATCATCCAGCCTGTCAGATGGTACATTGTCATATCCTTAATTTATGGATCTCACATGCACATAGATTCTATGTGTAGAAAAAATTCTGAGTAGAATTAATAAACAAAATTTATTAAAGAAAATCCACAGCTTCCTAGACAGATAAACTACTTATCTTGATATAGCACAATAATCTTTTTCCTTCAATTTCAGATGTTCATGAAAGGTGACAGAAACTGTGAGGATTAACTCTAAAATAAAAATATTGATTCTGGAATGGCCAATATCAAAAATCTTTCCTAGGAACAATTCTACTTCAGATATGCCATACCTTAGGCTATCTCCTCTCCCATCACAGCTGTCACCAAGTTCAGCATTAGGCTATCCTGGCTATTCCAGGCTATTCACACGTATGTCTAAAAAGCGTGGGAGCTGCCTCGCCGCACGTTGTTATATGGAACATCATACAACAACCTTTTGTGAGCATAATTTCAAGTAACTCAAGAAATATGCTTAAAAGAATATATAAAGATATTATCTAATTCTTCCATCAATAGTGATGAGGTTCCTACATGGTTTAGTTCAGCTGTTTTCGGGACACTTTGTAGCTGCTCTGGGAGAAAAAGGTGTACCTGACCTAAGGGGTTGTTATCTTCCAACACGAGCTACTCCAACTGAGGCACTTCCCATGATATAAAGCCTCTCTACAGGCAAGGATTTGATTTGTATTAGTAATAACACTTGCTTCTACACTTTGAGTTTCATAATGTGTTCTCATCCCATTTTCGGTCATTTCCACTGGAGCTCAGCTATACATTGGATATCTGCTAGCAGCATGATGCTGAACCTGCTACATTTCTTTGTCTTGGAAAGCAAGACTTTCTTACTGCACACAAAAATAAATATATTTAATACTTATTGATGCAACTGATGCTCAGATTTAGATGTACTTTATGATCATTTGAATGATGGTTGATGCTGTGTGGAATTGCTATAGGTACAAGGGCTGCATGACCCTCATTAACGCTTATCTTTTTTTTTCAACCCACTAAAGAAACAGATGCTTTATTTTTTTTGTGTATAGAACTTATAGAATTTATTTTGCTTATAATCTTTTATACATTTTATTTTCTCACTTCAAACAGTATACAATGAAAGAAGAAACAATGTTTTTTTTCCACCTCTTTAGTTTGGAAACTAGAACTGTTTAACACCAAAAGGAAGTGTTCTAAATTAAGAACTAGGTCCTTATCCCACACGCTCACATTAAACAGCACTTCATTCCTAAGGAGCCATTGATTTTATTTAGATTATTCTGCAGGATGCAGATCTGGATGCTGCTGGAACGTTAAGTGCCTGTTTAAAGTCTGTCCTACACAGAGGAGCATGCAAATTGATTCAGACTCAACAAACAGAAGAGATACTGTTCTGAACTAGAAACACAGCCTTTCGTTCCATACCAGTGCAGCAGTGATACAACAAAACCTTATAATCAAATTAATTGAAGATTATTTTTTAAACAGATTAAAAATTACTTTTACTGTAGCTACTTGTCTTTAAAATTTAACAATATTACTGTTCCTCAGTTACAAATTTTATATTTATGCTTAAAGAGTTTATTCTCTGAGGTATTCAATGTCAGTTATTAATGAAAACCCTTGCTTTGTAGAATTCAGGTAAAAGAAAGATAAATGCAGTCAGTTATCTAGAATGACAGAAAGAACAAAACAAAATCAAGCAAATAAGTAAAGCATAAGAAAAACAAACAAACAAACAAACAAATTAAACCTAATAAATCAGGAATAAAACTGAGGGAAAATAGAAAAAAGAAAAAGAAAAAAAAAAGGAAGCCTGTGGGATTTATGTTATTACAGTATACAATCAAGGCACATGATTCCAGATTATTCAAATTACCTGTGACAAAAGGACAGTTACCTCTCTGTGAAATGCCAATCATCCTTAGTTGGAATGAATTTATTGCTAACAAACCTAGTCTTAAACCCAAAGGAAATCATGGTAAGGTGTTCAAAAGTCACTCCTCTAACAATGACACTTCCAGGAAAAAGAAACTTTGCATCAACACAGTAATATCAATAAATTAGTGAGTTATGCATTGAATATGCAAATAACATGGGGATGTTTAACAGGGGAAGCAAATAATCCATTATTTTCTACAGAGCCTTTGCAAATCTAAGGAGAGGAAAACTGTAAGAGAAAGCCTTGCTGTAAAAAGGAGAAAAAAATTAATATGCATTTCATGAAGACATTAAAATAACAAGTTCAGCAGGATATTACAGATATTGCAGCAGAATAATGAAAGTAATATTTCTGAGTGATAAAATCTTTTAATAAATAATGTCAGAATAGTATTGGTGGAATAATGGTGCCACAGTGTATGTTGCTAATTGAACAACTACAGCTTGAGCTTTAATTCATAACTTTTTTCTATCCTGACTGCTGGATGTCCTGTCTATTGAGGAACAGAGGAATCTGATTGGTAAAAGGAGCATCTATATTCCATATAAAGTATACAGACCTGTATTAGAAAACTGCATTTTTTCAGCATGAAACAGTCAGAATCTAAGGTCAGATTTGTCATGCAAATAAACCCAGACTCTATGGAGACTGTAGGCAATGTGTTCCTCTCGTTTCAGAGAAAAGCTCTGAAGAATTCACCTTGAGATATTCATAATCATGAGAAGGATAATTTGATACATTTTTTCATTAATCTTTCACACTCTTTGCACTGTTAACATTTTAGCAATTTATTTTTCATTTGTGCTTTGCATCTTTTTTATTGTACTTGTGTTTAGAGATGCAAGTATGTGGCAACAGCAGCAATTAAATAATAAAACACGTAAGAGCATTAACAAAACATTTTTATAAACAGATATCACACTACTAGGCCACACAAGATTTAACACAAAATTCTATGATTATCTAACTTTTCTCAAAGGGAGACCAGAAGGTTTATGATAGTTTCACATAAATCTTAAAAATATCTCTACAAAATATAGTTATAGAATCTATAAAAATGTCTCCAGAAAAGGATACTAAATGTTTTCTATTATTTTTGTACCTATCTCCTAATATTAAATAAAAACTTTGCATTACAATAGATCTAAACCCCACAATCTTATTCTATATAAAATTTTACAGATCTTCTAAATAATTGTTGTTTCTCATGCACAAAATTCAACATGATGTTTAAATAAGGAATCTGACACATCATGTAAAAGCAGTAACACACAAACCCCCATATCCCAGTGTTCCATCTCTGCTAACATGATATGCTGTTGAAGCTGGTGACCCTCGCAGCACTGCTGAAGCCTAGTGCTGGGCTACCACAGGAAGGACTCCAAGCAGCAGAGGATAAAAGGCAACTCCTCTACCAGCAAAGCCCTGCCATAAGTATCTTACCAACTCCACAGACAACACTCAGACACTTAAGTACACTGAGGTATCTTTACGCCCTGCAAAAACCACTGCTCGTGTCATTCCTCCCACATTCAGTGGCTCCAATACCCAAGGGTGAGTGAAGAGAAACAGTACTGCAGTCATGCATAAAACTTATTATCTTATTGCTGTTTTTTTAGATGAGTATTGCTAATATTTATTCACAAAAGAAACGTTTAAATACACTTAGTGTTAACAGTATAAAATGAAATACCAGTCCATGGGAGCAAATGCATACAGATGTGTGTATGCACCCCCCCCACATACACACAGCACTTTTTCTTTGTAAAAAACATCTTAAAGAAGAAATAAAAACTACTTACACCAGAATAGAAAGGCTCACCAGACACACAGATCACATCCTGCTCCTGGATCATCAAAATATCTTTGGCTAAGTGCAGTCGCACTTTGAAAGGCTCCTGATTACCATCCTGCAGCAAACAAACCCCTGTCTTTGTCTTTAAGGAGGGAATAAAGGGAAAGAAAAGAATTCAGTTAGCTCTTAGAATTGTTAGAAGTGGTGATTGAATAAGAATACTTGATAGATAGGTACAGTCATCATAAACAAAACTATTTTCAATGATCACTGTGTTTAGACTATACGAGAACAAATGCTACCCTAGTAAACAGTAAAGGCTGTTTTTGTAATAACAGATTTTGCAATAATAAGGTGCTGTTTCACCCATGATCATTTTGTGAAACTCTTTCCAAATTGCTTCAAATCAACTGTGCTCTTATGTTCTGTCTTTTCATTAAATTATGACACCCCATATGACACAAAATAAAAGCTGATCCTCCACATACTACACCATTTTTGACACAGAAACACACACAATGACACCTCCAAACTAGCCAGATGTGAGTACCAACAGCTACATTAACCCAGTTGTGGGCTATTTATTCCTTGTCTGTGAATACAACATTTATTCAACTTTTTAATGTTCCTTTTCAAATGAGGATGCTGAGCTAAGAATAAGAGAAAAAAAAAAAATACTAAACTCCCTGCAGTAACTTAGTTCTTGCTCCATTTCTGTATTTTACATTTATGGCTAAAGATCAGGAATTCTGTAGGATTCTTCAATATATAAAAATTATTTTTCAGCAATTAACAGTGCCTTTGCAGTAGTACCTACTTGTACTATCTTTTGGAACATTATACATGAGAGGGTGAGCATGAAAAAGTTGGCACATGGAAGTACCATCAGTATTTAATTTTTCCTGAAGATTATGTTGAAAATAGCACTCTTTGTAACACTTAGTCAATGGACAAAATTCCCACTGGTAGAGCATTTTTTTTGTATGAGAAATCTGAGTACAAACAATCTAAAAAAAGCCTTACAAGTGGTTTACCAGCATAAGTATTTGCATAGATAGATAGAAATATATAGAGATATAGAGATATAGATATATACACGTGTCTCAGAAGAAAATTCACATATAAAAAGTATTGAAAACCTCTGACTCATCAGTACCAATTATACAACTTTCACTGTCTTCATAGAGGTCAGATTTCAATCCACCAACTGTAAAAAGTTGGCTTAAGAGGAGATAAAGAAAAGTATTTCTCTGAACTTTAAGTGCCAAGGTTGACCTGGCTGAATCTGAGGGCTCTTTCTCAGACAAGAGTTTAAAAGAGGATTTGGAAGATCTCCCCATAATGTGCTCTTACATCCATAGCATGGAGAGAACAAACACAAATATGGAACTGACAGTAGGCCACCAGCAAAAGAGAAGTTTAAATCTCTCTCACAAGGCTTTCAAAGAGGTGGAAAGGTCGAGGACAATCTTTAAATAGCTTTATACAATGTTCTCCACTGACAAACTGTTCTGTCACTTCTGCTCCATACTCAACACTCAAACTTCGGAAATTGTTTTTCCTTGGATGCCAGAAGCAAATGTGTATAACTCAGCCATGAATTTGAAAGAGGCACTGACATTGCTTGTATTCTTTTTGATCTAGGTAAGAAGAAGGAGAAAATGAAGAGCTCCATGCATTGAACTCACTGAGATCAGTTGAATCTCTGGTCAACAGTCATCCTACACCATTTTTCTAAAATTAAGGCTTGTTTTTTTTTTTGGTTTGTTTTTTTTTTTTTTTTTGTGAACAAGGTAAGAGAGAAATGTGCACAGATAAAATAAATGGATCACAGACGGAGTTAGGTTTTCAGTAACACTGAAAAATTCTCCCGTATCATACATAAAATGCTACAATATCAAAATGAAGAGTGGTTATATCCTTTGAACTTCTTTACAAACTAAGATGCCTCCTCTCTCCTTGGAGTGGTAAAGTGAAAGGGGAAGTTGAACAATGTGAATTGTAAATAATTACGGTCAAACAAAGGGGCTAACACTTAGAAAATGCCTTTCTTCTGCAGAAAAGTTTGCAACATGCCTTTCCTCCTCCCTGGATAACTGGCAGTAGAATAAATTCTGCCTCTCATACACTGGGTATAGTAACTCTGCAATCTTACATGATTGCACATTTCTGATTTAGTCACTAACCTTATAAAATCTCTAGAGTCTTTCTGCAAAAGCTGAGGGGCTACTTGTAGGAATTAGAGGCAACCACAGCAGGAACAATTAGACATTAGAATAAAATTAAAATTCAAGTCAGTTTCTAAATGCATATGAGCTGAGCTTATTCAGCCTGAACAAGGAAATCAAGCTTAGGTACAGCAAAATATTGTGGCCCTTGGAAAGATTGATCACACACACTCAGGGACCTTATTTACGTCAGACATTCTAAAATGTAATGAACCACTTTACTGTTGTTGGGTTTTATGAAAGCTAGTTTACAATACAGTTCAAAATTAAATCTTCAATTATACTACCTCCTTCTCTCTCCTACCTGACAGCTGCATTAACAACCATGTTAAGTAGAAGAATGTAGTTGAGTTTCATTAGGTAATTTCAAAAGAAGACCTTGAGAACAAAGACTGGAATTTAATTGTTTCATTTTTGTCTGTTGAAACCACTTTCTTGCTCCTTTCATCCACCTCCTTCAAAGTATTCCACAAACTAAGTAAAATAAAGATTTGAGCTCCTGTTCCAGAGCTGGAAATTAGGAAAGACAACCTGTATATATGCTTTCATGTAAACTGTTGTGCACATCAAATTTTTTTATTCATGTGGCCCCAGAAAAAAAATTTCTGATCAGCTGTATAGCCTACAGCCCTGCCCTCTCTCATATTTGAAGAGCTTAGATGGTGTGCATGTGTGTGTGCATGTGTGTGAGAGGTGTGGGAGTGCAGAGCTATGGCTGATATATGCTTTTGTTCCTGATACCAATTCCTAAGACATTCCATGTGAGGCTGTGCTAAAACTTTTCCCTTTAAGCCTTCCCCATGTCACTGGCAGAGGGTTGAGCCCTGCTCCTGTCTTACAGCAATAAGACACAAACAGCACATTGGCTGATCTGCTGGGCCATGCAAGGCATCCTCTGGTGCTCAAATGTGTGATACACTGCATCACCTCACAGCAAACATGCAGAGAGAAGCAGAGCTCAGCTGATAACAGTTTGTTAAGGCAATAAACCTTGACTGAGCCCAAATCACCAAGAACATCATCATATTTATGGAGTTGGGCTCCTGTGCTGCAAAGATGAAAGAAAGATGAAGAAAACAGTGTTTCAAGTTGCACATTTTTATGAAGCAGAGGAGGTGTGTTAAGGAATGCATATAGAAGCATTGTAAAGAGGTGAAAAAGAAAGTTTCCATATGAGAGAGGAGCCTGTGGCTTCAAGCAAAAGCAGTGATGAAGGAAGGTAGTGGCACCTAAGTAACAGGTGCAGTGAATGCTGCACCCACACAAGGCTGCCTCTGTCATCTCATTCAATACGGTTTTAAGCTGACTTAGATGAGAATATTGATGTGGCAAGGGCTGATGTCCTGGAAACTGCTTACAGTTCCTGAACTAATATAATTACAAGAGGGGATGAAAACTGATTTCCCTTTGCTTTGACACACCAGTCTGTGGTGAACTTTCTGCTTCAGACTGCTTTCCAGAGAATATGGTCAAACTCTGATCATTATTAGCAACAAGGCAGACAAAAAAGACCACTTAAAAATTATACCCTAACTTAGAGCACAATGTCCATAGGGACCGTGTAAAAGACCTGGCCTAAAGATTCCTTTCCTAAAAGGAATTTAGAAGTTCTTACATACCAAAACACACATTCCACATTTGTTAAATGGCCTTCACAAATATTTAAGGATTCATTTCAGAGGAAATACACATGAAAGCTACAGTTTCTACATTTATACTAGCAGCAGAGTACCTACAAAACACATATCAAAATAAATACCACAAGAGAAACATCATTAAAGTTACCTGTTGATTTAGAAGGCAATTTCCTGCAGAATTTCCAAAATAAATATTTTTTTAAATTTATCTGGCCTATAAAAGTCTGCTAGCAGATTTTATGGGTGTTTTTTTTATTTTTTTTTATGTTTTTTTTTTTTCCTTGTCATTCATGACAAGGAAAAAAAATTCTAAAACATTTCCTTTGTTTTTTTTCTCAATGAGAGTTTCTCAGTCTTTCAGGCAATTTTAAGTACTCATAATTTAGTATTATTAGTACTCATTAGTTTTCAAGACATGGCTATATCTTCTCCTTCATCTATGTCTTTGGCCCTACAGTAATAAAACAATTTATTTAGCTTTGATTCTCATAGTTTTATGTCAGTAGGAAGACTTCAACAAATATCCCAGAATAGTTTAGTCCACAAACAAGTTGAAGAAAGAAAGAGGAAAAAAAATAAAATCTTGGCACATTTTCTATACAAGGTGACCTGGATTTTTAGTTTTTACTTTGACTATTATGTCCTAAAATAAAGTAAGCCTCTGCAATTTGGTTTTAAGCCCTGAAATTTATTTCTACTATCAAGAACATGATAGCAGTAAGGAGAATGGCTTACAAAACTGCCTTAAATGTGTACCTAGCTCCTTCAGATTAATATCTACCCTTTTGGGTGCTTATTCGAACTGAGGCTGACCTCTGAATATTTGGAGATATGCCTGTCACTGCTTCATAATCGTAAGTATAATAATAAAAAAGGAAATTGAATCAGAGGTTTAAGGAGGTAATGGCATTGGATTTAAGGAGCTAATAGCAATGGATTCAAGAGGAAGGAATATGTGTCAGAACCATATATGGGATGTTTTTTGAACAGTCCAGTTACACATTCTGTGGAGGTATTGCTAGCTTAAGTGAAAAGCACTTATATTGTCAAAAATTGGAATGCAGCCCAGACACACAAGGATGTGTTCAGCTTGTCATTCAGAGCCTCTTCAATCAGATACCAACATTTTCCAATCCCAGGGACAGCAAGTCCATTCCTGCATGTGAATTATACTCCAGTCTGAAAGAACTGCAGAAAAATTCTGAATTTGGACTTGAACTTATTTTAATTTGATTTGTCAGGTATTTTTCAGGTAAGCATTTATTGTGGTACTCTTT